ATTTGTGGCCCTCTGAGTGGTTGTGTGTGGACCACGACTACAGTTTAAGAATAGTAGTTTTTTACCAACAAACTTAAGGGTTGACGCAGATGGATATCTTTTGCAAGTTTTAGGAATGTTATTTTTTTTAAATGATTATTAATTTTTAGGTTTAACAGAAATTAAGATGAAAATAATCTTCTTAAAATGTGCAATATTTTAAGATAAAAAAAATCTTTATCACTGATAGAGGGGAATTGGACTTCTTTAAGAGAATACGAAGCGGGAATGACTGATGATAATACAATTTGATCACCTTTGCTTATGTCCCTTTAAACCAAACTTTTTTTTTAAAATCAGTTTTCCTTTATAAAGGTAAATAACTGTGAGTAGGGATGCACAATATTATCGGCATGTTATCAGTATCGGCCAATATTAGTGATAAGGTTAAATATCGGACATCGACCATTCCATCAAAATAACTCACCAATATAAAAGGTACTGTTTTTATATATATGGTGCTGTTTCTGTATGACAACCCAGTGACAAGGAGATTTGAGTTGATCATTAAGATTGTATTTGGCTTCTGTTTTAAGTTAATTTTTAATTTAAGAAACTCACTTATCTCTATTAATGCACCATGTGCTTTTCACTTGTCGCTTGGGAACAGGTTGAGTTTAGATTTGTAAAAACTTACAAATGTGCACTGTTCGAGTGTTGTCATTGTGTTAGAGAAAGTAAAGGTTATGAATAAATTTGACATTAAATATAGTGTTACATCATTTTCAGTTCCCTTTTTGGCATCTGCATTTGGTAGCAGGCCAGCATGACAAAGACCATGTAGAATAATGTAGTATTTTAATTCCACATCAGATAAAGCTATGTAGTCTCTGTATGTAGGTCTAGGGGGGAAAAAATGTCAGCATTGCTATCGGTTATTGGCCAAATAAGTTTTAACATATTGGCATATCGGATATTGGCCAAAAGTCCAATATTGTGCATCTCTATTTGTGAGGTTTTATTTGGCTTGGATCTACAACAATTAAAACTCCCATTTCCACAAAAATTTGTATACTTTTCTCATTTTACAAAAGTATTGTGTGTTTGCATTATTGTTGAGTTATATAAAAAAAATACAATTACCCCAAAAAAACCCTATTTGTGCTTTTTAATAAAAAATTCAAAGTTTTGTTGACCATGAGTACCTTTAACTTGACAATTTTAACTTACATGTCACAAAGTTTGGACACCGCAGGTTTAAATCTTTCTGCTCATCCCAGCTAAGAGATCAGCATTTAGAGAACTGCTCAGATTTCATCTTCTCTTCCACTGTCCCCATGGTAACCAGCTGCCAGCATGGTAAACACAAAGTCTGTGTTAGTTGATGCTTTCTGTCACTCTCACTTCTTCTATTTCTATGAGTGTGTGTGTGTGTGTGTGTGTGTGTGTGTGTGTGTGTGTGTGTGTGTGTGTGTGTGTGCGTGCGTGCGTGCGTGCGTGCGTGCGTGCGTGCGTGCGTGTGTGTGTGTGTGTCACTCTAATGACTTATTATATGTCACCAGCAGATTTTTACACAGCTCTTCAGTTTCACCGTGATATTCCAAGTTTAACACGAGGGTAAACTACACAACCAGAGACAATACGCAGAATGCACACATCCATCTCAATTTTATACATGCAGACACATTTGCAGTCTCCAGATTCTCATATACACACACACGCACACACACATCAGACTTCAGCAGCTGGCCTGACCTTGAAGATAAATACACCCTTGAATAATGTTTCTGCAATTCATGGCTGGCCATGGTCTGTTATATGAGCAGCATTTCAAAGGATTCATCTCAGGCTACGTGGAAATAGATATGGAGTCAATATGTGGTGCTCTTACCCCCCCCCCCCCCACACACACACACACACACACACACACACACGCACACACATTTATCTAGGCATCACTGCACATGATTGCACTTTTTGTTTCCGTCTTGTTGTCAGTGCACGTTCACTGACACACAAACGACACCTACACTCAATTGTACCTGCCTTATTTTCTTATATTTAACTAATGTTTAACACCTAAGTGTGTCCTGCTCTGACATACGTTAGTCAAGTCAAGTCATCTTTATTTATAGAGCACATTTAAAACAGAACCTGTTATCACAGTGCTTAACAACAACAACAATCAATGGGAGTAAAATGAAAGAGAAAAAAAAATACAATACACTAATAATAATAACTGAATAATTAATAAAAAGCATTTAAAACATAGGATCACAGAACAAAAAGCACTAAATCAATTTACACTGTGTGAAATGCCTGCAAGAACAGATGTGTTTTTAGCAGGCATTAGAAGTGAGGAAGGGAGGTGGCCTGCCTGATGTTGGGGGGGGGGGGGGGGGGGGTTAGTAGACTTTATATTGTGAAAATATGAAGTCAGAGTTTGGCAGGTGAAAAAAAAAAATAGAAATAAACAAACCAGTAATCATACATCTGGTGTGAATTACAAATCTGAAACTGCTGTGAACTCTTTTCCTTTCATTTTGAACCACCTCTGGATGCCTGTTGTACAGATAACAGACACGTTGTGGGGCAACATTTTTTTTTAAATGTCGAGCCTGCAAATTATTAAATATTTAATGTTTGTGGTAGTAATGTCACAGAAATGAAACCCACAATCAGTAGCCCTCAAGCACAAACTATCAGATCAGACTTTAGATCAGTTAATAAATATCTGTTACTTTTCCTAAGTCCCATTCAAGCCTGTCACATCTACACCTTTACTGACATCTAGTGTCAGAAGCACTCATGATAATTCTGCAAATGTTTCCCTTTAGATCAGCCCCAGCAGTCACCAGCCCTCCTACTTTCTTATGACAAGCAGAAAAAGGTGTGGTGAAGTAAAAACTGAATGTGTTTGTGTAAGAGCGTGTTGTGAAACGGTGTATGTTGTGCAGCAGGTGAAACAGAAGAAGAAAAAACTCAGACCATGCTGAAGACAAAAAGGTTGATAATGAATAAACAGGTGACAAAAACTATTTAGGCTCACAATTTCCCATGAATGAACATGTTGCAGTTGAAATACACTGTAAAAGTCAACCAAAATGTTAACTTGTGTTACTGTAGGATGTCTATGTACACGTAATATACGACTCACCTGAGTCCACAGCATTTCTGGTTATTAACCCAGAAGAGCGACCCCACTTGTCTAAATCAGTCCAGTGGGTCATTAACCCAGTGCTGCAAACTAACTCGTCTGTTTACGCAGCATTACCAGTGATCCTGCTGGTTTTTCGGTGTGTTTGCTAACCCACGGACTTTTATCTGCCAGAGGACTTGGAAGTATTCGGGTTAGTTAAGACCTCGGATTTGTGCGTCTGGACTCGGTGTAAGGACTCAAATCATTAACCTCCCTGGACATAGGCGTCACAACCATTATACTGCATACATGGGATGCTTTGAGAGAAGTGAAGCGCTACATCTGTAGCATCTTAGCTTAGCACTACGCTCATTGTGTGACGCTGTAAGACGCTGTGTGTTGAGGTGCATTAAAGTTGAAATGTCTTTAAACCCCCACACCTTATTGCACTCAAGCTTTATGAGAAACATCCTTTAGATGAGTATTGTTGAACACAAGTAAAAAAAAAAGTCTAGTGGTGATGTTGTTTTTAAATTTAATTTCCATATAAAACACAAATGGTGCCAACCTGACAGTGTGTTAAAGTGCATTCAAGTTGAAATGTCTTTAAAACAGCTGAATTTACACAATCTTGGTGAGAAACATGCTTTAAATGGAATTCAAGTAAGGAAATCTAGGTGAAGTGTTGATTTTTTTTGTACACTAGTGTACACTTTTGTGCACACTGGTGGTGGTGTGTGTGCATGTTCACACGCACACACATGTGCACACCCCAAAAATGTGTCCCCCCCCCTACACACACATTACAGATACTTCTGATGCCAATGCGCCTGGATCACGAACCAACCAGCTGTTGCAAATCGGCCTACATCGGGAATGTTGGTAACTGGTCTGAAAGCTGGAAGCATTCTTATTTTTCCTGTCAATAAAATGAAGTTGTTTTTAGCAACAACAACAACAACAACAAAGGGGGAGAAAAAAAAGTAATATTTTGTTAATTATTTTTTTTTATTTTTAGAAAAGATTTAAATCAGTATAGTAGTATAGTATCAATATAGTATTCAACCCATCAATTATTTTGCGAATTGTCACACGTCTTTTTAGGAACTATAGAATAAAATCTTTAAAATTTATTGAGTTATGCTTTTAAGCTTTGTTACAATGCTTTGATCATCCTTATTAGTTATGAGTTGATTGTGTCAAGGGTCCGTTGTTACCTCTTAATCTAACTCAGACATGAGCAACATACAGCCTGAGGGCCAAAAATGGCCCTTGGACAGTCTGCATCCGACCCCTTAGTTGAAAAGAAAACAACTTTTTAAAAAGTTGATGAAAACATTTATGAATGAAACTTAAGGAAGTTTAAAATAAACTTCTTGGATCAATACATAAAAGCCTTTAGAATAAGGCTATTTTAAAAGTAGTGTTTGTAGAACTAGACTCCAAAATTCAAACATAAAACTTTTTTTACCCAATATTTAGGCTAATATTCTACAGTGTTTTTGGGGACATATTTTTATTGAGCATGCTAATTATGCTACAACAAGAAAATGCCTGAAAAACACTTTATTTTTTTTTTTATTTGTGTCTTAATAAAAATGTATTTTGCAGTTCTCTAAGCGGCCCTTCTATTGCTTTAAATATTTTGATTTGGCCCTTTGGGAAAAAAAAATAGTTGCCCACCCCTGATCTAACTGAAAATGATCACTTTGGTCATGTGTCTAGTGATATTTCCCGCCCTTTGCAGCGACATGCAGAACATGCGCACCTCTGCGGTCTGATCTTACGATTTTTTTTGTTTGTTTGTTTTTAGGGAACTCTCACTTCCTGCTCACTGGCGCCTGTTTCCTCACAGTGCTGCGCCTCTTGTTGTGTCACAGCGCACGCTGTTCCATCATCACTACAACAGGCACTCCTTTTCCAGCTCCGTCGTCCATCAGGAGCCATCATGCAGCAGATACGAGACGAAAGGTGAGTTTTTAAAACCTCAGTTTACTTCACATGAACCACAAGAGAGTTTCACTTTAGTTGCACTGGGGGATCTAAAATGTAGCAACAGTCGAACTACAGGCAGATTTTTCAGCAGGAGGGGAACGTGTAAATTTTTTGCGGCTCTGGTTATCGCCCGCCACCGAAAGGGGAAGGCGGACAAACACTAATGGACAAATTACAATGAAATTGCAGAAACTAATCATAAAATGTTGATTTACAATGGCTGCCACACTGAAATTACTAAAACGTCTACAATCATCATGACAATAATATGATAAACCCTGGACATTTACTGACCCGAAGGATTTCAATAATCTGGCACTGGTTGAGTGTGAGAGTCGAGCTTAAGTACCGGGGAAAACATGTGAGCAGCATGAGGGCTGATTGGAGGGTAGAGTGGGCACGGTGTGGGTTGACAGGAGCAGTGACATAAACAGAACATGAAGGCAGGAACTTTGGCGGGAGGGGCAGAAAACGTGACAGAGTCATTAATAAAATTTTGATTATTTATTAAAAATACAAGAGAAATGTTTAATATTCACATTACGTATCAAAACAATGGCGCTAATATGTCAAAATAACAGCGAAAAAAATAAAATAAAATAACAGCGATCACAAGGTCGAAAAGACAGTCCATTCATTCAACCTTTATTTAGACAGGTAAATCCCATTGAGCCTCGAGGACTCATTTACAGGGGAGACCTGATTTCAACAAAGAATGATGACAACAATGGACAACAGTGACAACAATGGACAACAGTGACAACAATAGACAGTTGTAAAAAGGCATACAGATTTTTATTTATTTTTTCCCCAAAAAATTACATTACATTACATTTAGTTCAATTTACTTTCTTTTAAACAAGACTTCTCATTGTCCTTAATTGGACAACCGAGAATTGAAGCACTTGAAGGCAGTGGCAGTTGAGAGTGGAGCAGGAGTGAGCGAGTGGTCGGGGTGAGTTCCGAGCTAACCAGGCAGTCGTATGCATGCTTGACAGAAGCGCAGCAGCTTTATTCACACACAAGGAGAGAGCTGTTGTTGCTGCTCCATTAAATAGTTATAGAATCAAGTGTTTACAAATGTAGGTAAACGTAGATGTTAAAGAACCCGTTAAAATACACCAGAATGCAGGAAATAGCACCTACAGTACTTTATTCAAAATTTTCTGGAGGAGGACCCCCAGAATCCTAACCCCCCCCCCGCGCGCCCGTTATTTGTGTTACGGCATTGATCGTTTCACAAATTAAGTCCTGAACACAATATACCTAATTCTAGGTCTTAAGTATTTTTTTATAACGAAGGAGACTTATAATAAATCATTTTGATTTCTTGAAAAAATATATCAAAAACTCAGATTGTTTTATGGGTTTCATTTCTCTACATTCTTTTTGCACATAACAAACTGTAACTGTATAATATTATGCAATATGTATAATATGTAACTGGGACCCTGTGTACACAATTTTGTTCCATCACATGTACCACATGTGATGAGAATGACAATAAAAAACCTTGACCTTGACTATCAGATTAAAGACTTTTCAAAATATTAACATTCTGATTTGTTTTTGCTCTTTAGTGACTTTGACCAGCTCCCACATAACATTCCTGTCAATGCCACCATTGCTGATATTGAGGAGAAGAAAGGCTTCATCGACTACTATGTAAGTCTGAACAATAAACTTTTCCCTGAACCTAAAGCTCTCAGACAAACATTGCACGTCTGTATTTTTCTGCGTCCCTCATGTCATGCAGCTCCTCTGGTTCATGCTTGTCAACCGTTGCTTCCTGTTATCTGTTTCTCTCCCAGAAGTTTGTGATCGAGGTGAAGACTAAAGGAGGGAGCAAATATTTGATCTACAGGAGGTACAGAGAATTTTTCAACCTTCACCAAATTCTCGAGAGCAAATACTCCCCTGAAATTCCAGACAGAACTGGTCCCAACACCTGCGTCCTGCCTTCAATTCCAGGCGAGTTTCTGTTCAAGGTGCTGATAATCACAGATTAATCCAGCCATGAAAAAATGTTACTATGTCACCTGTCACATTTTTCAATGTGTTTGTCAGAGAGCTGTCATTTAGTGTTTAATCCTCTGAAGAAACCTCTGACTTCAAAAAGCTCAATTTTTTTTACATTTTAAACATTTTAGCAAAAATACATGAGGCTACAATAGATACAGTCCACATTAAAGACAGTAGTCTAATGATAAACATAATTTATTATTCACCCAAGTTCATGCTCATAAATCCAGGTAAAAATCCAACAATGTTCAGTCAGGTCATCTGGACGGTTTGTTTTCTTGCTGAGACGTTTCGTCCTTCATCCAAAGTACTTCTTCAATCTGAGGAGCCACCAACAAACTGAATCCCACAAGCAGCACACTACCATTGTGGAAAAAAACGATTCTGGAATCTTGGAATGGAAGATTCCAGTGGAAGAATGGGGGAAAAAAAGGCTCTTCAGATTGAAGAAGTCCTTTGGATGAAGGACGAAACGTCTCAGCAAGAAAACAAAACCGTCCAGATGACCTGACTGAACATTGTTATGATTTATTATTCTTAAAAGTTAATTGAAATGTTCAAAAGTAAATTGATTCAAATAATTTGTATTCAATAAAAATTTTAACACGTTGTGGCAACTCTTTTGAAAAGTTACTTTACTACCAGATTACATTGTGATAAAAGTAGTAGATTATGAAATACGACCTGTTTTAAAACTTCGTTTTTGTTTTGTTGCCTGCAGCATGTGGCCACAGCTACTGACTCTCAGAAATGTTTGTGTGTTTTGTCTTTTTCAAATTATAAATCGTTTTTATGACATGACTTTACACAGATGGTTTTCTTCTTTATGTTTGCAGACAGATTGGTTTATTTTGCATATGTTTAAATATTTTTGCCCAACTGTTTTTTGTTAATAACAATAATAAGAGCTTCAACTACGAATGAAACTATTTTAAAACTTAAATTGAAAATAAAAAAAATTAGCGTCACAATGATCATTATGAATGTTGGTGAAGCTTCCTGCTCTCTTTTAATTGTGTGAAACCAGAATCCAGAAAAGGTTCATTTAAATGTATCATAAAAACATAAATAAATTAAAGAGTGGCTTTCGTATAAGACAGGGGTGTCCAAAAATTTTCATATGTGAGCCAAAACTATCAAGATGAAAGGACTCGTGGGCCACAAAATGTAAATTTAACTCAACGTGAACAATAATTTGGAGAAAGGTCAAATGTACTAATTTTGGTGGAGAAAGAGTTTTAAATTGTTGTAGGTCCAAAACATTAAAAGCCTCATAAACACTAAGCTTATATGTTTTATTAAAAGTTATTTGATTTATTTGGTTGGTTGATACCATTCTTAAACTGCAGCTGTGGGCCACACAAAATCCCTCCAAGGGCCGCAAATGGCCCTCGGGCCACACTTTGGACACTCGTGATAAAAGATCTTCTTATTTTGTAGCATGAACACTACCTCTCTAAATCTTATATCCATATCTATATAAAAATGACTGACTCGTAGCCATTTTTGTCTTTGCTAAGGTTGATTAGCTGTGGCGGCCATTCTGAATAAAATTGACTCCATGTGTCAATCACTTTTACGTGCACATCCAGTGATTTCTTTCTAGTGGTAAATAACAGTGATACATGACAAACTTACATGACAGACAAATGAACACTAACACGCACGTGCCTTTCATGCCAGTGGGCGATTTTTAATATACCAGAAAATATTTTTTGTGTACAATGAAGTGAAAGAAGAATGAGTGACCGTCATGGTGTGGTGTGTGTGTTTGTGTGTGATGGGGTGTCATATAGCTGACCATTATGACAGCTGTCAGTTTTTGACAGTCAATGATGGCACGGTTAGTTGCATCCCTATTTTTACAGCTCGTTTGCTGCAGAAACAATAATTACACTTTACATGTGACGTGTTACCGTCAACATTTATTCCACTGATAATTGTGACATTTGCTTCTTGGTTAAAAGCCAAGGACAGGGCTTACGTAAATCATGGTTTCATAACGTTTGCAGAGATTTTTTTTTCTTCTCTGCTGCGGGCTGAACACGTTTTTGCCCCGTCACTCTGTAACGTTCACCTTCAACGACACGCTACGGAGAGGAGCGGACTGAGTTTATGGTAGCAGCTGGCCAGACTTCCTCTCTGTGGTCGAAAGAGCAGAGCTCCATCTGAGCACAGTTTTCAACAACATCTGCATCTGTTCGACGTGCAGTGCGTGTTTGTGCTTTCAAATCGGACTGATTAAATTTTCTACATTTAGAAAACACCAGATGAAGACAAAAATGAGTAGTAGTTCAATTAAAAATTTAGTTTAGTGTGAACCCAGTAATGAAAGTGACTACGTAATAATATAAATGTGAGCACTAATGCTGCATTACAACTCTTATCTCTACTAAAATATATGTCAACTAAGAATTAGCATTATAAAAGTTAGACTGAAGTTTAATAAGTACTTTAATATGAGCCCAAATTAACCTTAATTCTCCTCCTATGAAGTATTTATTTTTAAATTATTAGAGCTTTGATCGATCTCCTACATTTTCTGAAGACATAGTACACAGCTCTTGGCAAAGTTTCACAAAGTCAGCATTAAAAGTCACGACTTGAAGTCCCGCTGAGGAGTTTAATGTGGAATGTCAGTTTTTAAAGCGTATTGGTGAGTAGAACGACATTGAGAACAGTCAGGGAAGAGCAGAAGAAATGTGGGACAGATGAAGGACAGGAAAAATACAGACTGATAGAAAGAAAACCAAAATGTTAAGAGATGGTAAATGGTTCTTTTTGTCTGATAGATGAACTGTTGAATATGTTGCTACCAGGCTAGGTGATCTAAATTAATGAACTAATGAGTTTTCTTTATGTAGGTCTAAATGTTGCTGTTAAAGCTTTAAATGTCTGCCTGCTCTTTTTGAACAATACAGTGCTCTCCATAGACATTTCTGTGTTACAGAACTATTCCCCCCAGGAGGATATCACTTCACTTTTTACAAAGCTGTTGAAAACACAATGGCAGAATGGAGTTTTTAGACAGTTGTGTCATGAATTATAAAATAAGAATGAATTTTTTTTTTAAAGAGAGTTCATTTGTTGGTATTTATATTAACATATTTGTTTCTTACCCCTCTGATGATAATCTTATCCTTAAGTTTATACACTCAAGCCTCAGTCATTGGCTGTATTGTAAGACTGTGTTTCCTCATACCCGTGCTGTCTCTGGCTTTATTCAAATCATTGTTTTTCCATAAACCTGTCTGTCTCTGCCGTCACTGTCTGCATTGATTATCTGAGACTGAAACTCGGTATCTGTACCAATAAAAGCTTGAAGGCTTCATGTAGGAGGTTCGGACAACTGAATCAGGAGAAATGAGGACAGACGAGGGGTTTGTGTATTGTACAGTGTAAACTTTAATAATCAAATTATAACTCAACTTGATCATTCGTAGGTCACTTTCAGATTGTTCTCAATTGAGGATGGGGGACCACGGTGTCATTGTTTTAAAAACAGCATAGTGGCAGTAAAAAACAAAGCCATCTGACTATAAGGGCTGCATCACTTCAAATGATTATTTTTAGTTATTTTATGCATATTGCTTCAGCAGCATCTATTGTTTTGCTGACTTTGGTCACAAGAAAAACACTACAAATCCAAAGAACATATTGATGTTTATCCCATTTTTAATAGCTATTTAGGCCTGTCATGATAAATAATAAATCAATTAATCGCATGATAAATTAAAATTATCAACCTCATTTTCATTTATCGACTTTATCGTTTCTTCGTGTCTCTCTCTTTCTACTGAAGACACTGGATGACACAAAGCTCAACTCCGGTGCTCTTCTCTGACCCCTCCCTTTCTCTTTTAAATCAGTTTTAATGATCCAAAATCACGTTTTTGGATCATTAAAAGCAGCTAAGCTGAGAAGCTAAGCTACAAGTTAAGCTAACAGGCCGACCTCGAGGAAAAACCTCCATCCATCTTGTCGAAGCTTCAAAATTCATGGTTGAAACCCCTGATGTTGTGTAAAAAGTTACTTTTCTCTGCAAAAATAATCTGAGAACTGGTTTACTGATTTTTTATTAAAAGCTTTGTGTGAAAAATGCTATGCTAAAGAGCTCAAACCACACCGAGCGTCCGCCATTTTGAGAACTGAATAAAGGAATGAGAGACAGCCCATGTCACGTCAACGGGCCTCCCTCCCATTTTTCTTAAAGAGACACTCTGCTGCTCCCTCACTATCCATCCTTCAGTTCAAACAGTCTTATACTGCCATCCAGTAGTCAAAAAAAAGTACTACACGCAAAACAAATTAACCAGTATTTGTACATAAATTTGACAATAATTACTAATTACTGTTAAATTTCAACAATATTATTGTTTATCGCAATAATTTCTGAGACAATCGCCCAGCAAAATTTGTTATTGTGACAGGCCTATAACTATTCCTATTGACAGAAAAACAAGAACCAAATAAGTTAAAGGAAAGATATGTAAGTAATGTTGAGTTCAGGGGTTTTACTGAGTAATAGTATTAACACTTGTATCACTTGTATTTAGGAACAATTAAGATTCCTGACGTTGGTGGTGTTGTATTATAGCTTGAGCTCTATTTGAGCTGAATTAAAACCTATTGAAATAAGCTTGTAACTGTTCAACATTTGGTCTGCTTTGTCTTAAAACCTGAATTTGTAAATGAACTTATTGCAACACAATAATAAAATCATTCTTTTTTCTTTCTTTGTCTTGCACAAAACCTTTTTTTTTCTTTATTCCGTCAGGTTTGGTATCCTGTGACCTTTTTAAACTGTTTTATCAGAAGTCAACATTCATGTCACTGACTTTTAATTTATTCTAATTAAACTGTTGAATGTGTTTTTTAACTAGTTGAGAATTAAAGCCTTTGTGTATAAATGTTAATGCATTCTTCGAAGAGCTCAAGGCAATAATCTTTTGCTATTTTTAGAAAAGTTCTACTTTTCTACAAAGTCAAATTTAGCATCTGCCACTGTGGAGTCTGCTGGATTAATTGGAGTGCCAGATCTCATCAGGATGGAAAGGGAATAGAGCAACATGGGGAGAACAGAGGGAGATAGGATGAAGGGTGATGGGCCTACTGGAAAAAAAAAAAAAAAACTATATATATAAATATGAATTACCCCATCTCTTTGGTCCAAAGGAACAGTTCTGATTAATGGAGAAGCAAATGGTGGCATGGCATGGTATCACAGTGCCAGTTTCAGTTTGTCTTTACTTCTTAATAACAATGGCATGAACAAAATGCATCCAAGGAACATTTAATAAGGCAATAAGATATGTGATAAAAAATTATTTATCAATAATAAATGAGTGAATTTATGTGACTGAATTTGTATTTTGCTTCAGAGTGAATGAGGTGGGGGACACTTAGAGACGATAGTGAGCCAAATATGAAGGCTGAGGGTCATTAAGACCAAATTTGATAGAACACCAGTGTTTAATGGCTGTGAATGAATTGTTTCTGCTGGATTTGATGTCTTGGCTGTCGCCTCATAACTTTTGGTTGAACTTAGTTTGATATCATGGCTTAAAATAATATACTGTATGTATTTATTTTGAGTTTATATTTGGATATGATGAATGGAAGGGGAGTGGTGGCCCAGAGGTTAGAGAAGGTGGGCCTGTGATTGGAAGATCGTTGGCTCAACTCCCGGTACCGACGACATTAAAATGTGGGTGGGATAGGTGAAGCAGCCACACCTGCCTCCACCCTCATTTCGTCCCACTCTGGGCCCTTGAGCAAGGCCCTTAACCCCCACCATCTGCTCCTCTGCACATCCTAGATAGCAGCTCTCTGCTCCACACAGAGGGCTGTGGTAGCTCGTTGGTCTGTGGTTGCATCAGGAAGAGCATCTGGTGTATCTGTGCGACTAAGTTCGCTGTGGTGACCCTTGACGAAGGGAGCAGCCGAAAGAAAATAGTATATAATGAAACAATATACTTGTGAAACTAGAGAAATTGCATCTCCTATGAAAATGCAGTGTGAATGCTTATTGCTGAAGAATTTGCTGATAAACAGCTGAAATTAGCTAAAAACACAAGCTGAAATATAGCCGAAATGGAAGAACAAGACTGAGGCAGCAGAAGAAAGCAGAAAAAAACACCTTTGCTGAATTTGGTTTAAATAAGCAGAAAAGAGAACAAAAATAGTAAATTAGCTAAAAGCTGAAATTAGCAAAACAAAAATAGCAGAAACATAGCTGAAAAGGCATTAAGAAGCTTAAATTACCAGAAATAGAGAGGGTACAATTGTGCCCAATTAGACTGAAAAAAAAATCAGAAATAGCACCAAAAGTGGAAATTATCTGAAAAATGAAGAAATGTGAAAAAAATAAACCAGCTAATAGTAGCTAAAAATGCAGAAAAAAGCTTAAATTACCAGAAGGAAGTGGTGAGAGCACATTTTTTGCTGAATTAGGCAGAAAAAAGTTAAAATGAGTGCAAAAAATTTGGAATTAGCTGAAAAAGCTTAAATTAGCATAAAACAGCTAAATAGTTTAAACTTGCAGAACTAAGCAGAAAGGAGCATAACAAGCTGAAATTAGCAGAAAGAAGTTAGAAGAAAGCACAACAATGCTGTAGCTAACAGAATAAAGCAGAAAGGAGCACAAAAAGCTGAAAAAACAGCTGAAAGTAACAGATTTTTTTTATTGTACAAGGAAGCTGAAAGAAGCTTAACTGGAACAAAATGTGAAAGGAGTAGTAAAAGGTTGTAAACAGATCTTTTTTCATTCATTCAACTTTTATTTAAGCAAATAAGTCACATTGAGCCTCGAAGACTCATTGACAAGTGAGACCTATTTGGACAGACAATAAAAAGTGGTGAAAAATAACACATAGGGTTTCGTGACAAAAAAAAATCTTAACACACTTTTAACCTCTGGTTGAAGGTCAACAGCATGATAATGAAAAAAAAAAAATCTCGCACACTAGCACATAATGACGCCGAACATTATGCAGGGGAAAGCAAGGGCAGTGAGCATGTCCAGAGACCACACACAGAGGCACTGTAGAGTTCAGATAAAATCACTCAGTTCAAATAATTGGGGGAGTGGTGGCGCAGAGGTTAGGAGATTGGCCTGTGATCGGAAAGTCACAGGTTCAACTCCCGGTACCGTCAACATCAAAAATGTGGGTGGAATAGGTGGCAAATCCACACCTGCCTCCACCCTCATTTGCCCCACTCTGGGCCCCTGAGCAAGGCTCTTAACCCCCACCATCTGCTCCCTAAGCAGGTCTCTCTTGAAAATGAGTTCTAGTGGCTCAATGAGACTACCTGTATAAATAAAGGATAAATGAAAATGAAAAAATAGTTCCCTCTGGAGAGATCCATACACTCTCAGGGGGTGTTGAGGATGACCAAGGACGAATCCAAAGAGTCCTGAAATGATGACAGACAATAAAAAGTGGTGACTTTTCCTCTGAAAAGTCCGTGGAAATTCTTCAGTAGGAGGAGAGGGACGGGCAGAGCTTCAGATCTAGAAAACTTACAGGCGGGTTGAGATAAGATGGCAGTCAGCGAGCTGAATTCAAATAAACACAATTGTTCTGGGGACAGGCAAAACTTTAATGACATCTATCTTGAGTCTGTGTCGGTCCACTGGGTTCTAAAACGTCCAAATTACATGGCCACACCATGGATCGGAAGATCCCCTGTTCACGCCCCGGTACCGAAAACATCAAAAATGTGGGTGGGGTAGGTGAAGCACCCACATTTGCCCCTACCCTCATTCGCCCCACTCTGGGCCCATGAGCAAGGCCCTTAACCCCCCATCTGCTCCCTAAACAGATCTCTCTTGAAAATGAGTTCTCGTTGCTCAATGAGACTACCTGTATAAATAAAGGGTAAATGAAAAAAAAAAAAAAAAAACACCAATGGACCATGCCTGAGATATCTCCTGAGATCTAATCCATTCTGCCAAAAGCATTTGAGTCTGGGTGCTTGAGGCACGAACCAAGTCATCACAAGGCAAGCAGCTTGATCGGGTCCAAATTTGCTGCCGACGACTTCCTTGATTGTAGATAAACCAGGAACCAGCCGAATACAAAAAGCAGGAACCAGTTATCATAAATCCAATTATATATGTGTCCTTAAAATCCACAAATGGCAGCAGAGATAGACACATAATCCAGTCTTCCAGATAGATGCTGAAAAGCATATGGAAGAAGTCTAGAACCCGGAATAATAAATATAAACAGGATCACAATAGGGTAAATAGGATCACAATAGTGTGAATGCTTAATAAGCATTCACACTATTACATAAAGCCTACAGATGTTACACTGAACTGTTTTTCTTGAGATGAATAACTGATGTAATGGGTCATAATCCACACTCCGTTTTTCCTGATAGAGTTGACAGATTGCTATGAAATTTGACAGAAAAATAAAATCTTAAGACAAACATTAATGTAAGGTGCTTTATTTGCTGCAAAGTTTAACATGCTAAATGAAACTTTACAATGCAGAACATTTCCTTTCATTGCCACTATTTTAACATGCTAATGTTAGCATTCAGGTCTAAACACAAACGATTGAACGATTGTTTAGTTTGCATATTCCTGATAAAATTCCATATTACCTTTAACAATTGTTTCTTACCATCTTCACCATTTAGACCAAATATTTTTGTGTTAATTAGCCATATGTTGCACAATCAGTGCCAGATGTCACATTAGTTAGTATTATTATCAATCTGTATGTTGTTTAACATTCTCATAATGTTGAACTTTAATGTAATTCTAAAGAAGTGTGTGAAATTAATAAATGTATTAATTTATAAAAATCAACAACCAAAATTGCCTTACTACTTAATAAACTGTTATTAATCAATCACTGGAGGAAAGATGCAGATAAATATTTATTACAATCCTGGAGGATAGCTGCTCTTATTCTGGTTAGGCTATTTTTCTTTTCTTAACTCACAACTAAATCTAAATATATAAATCAATTAGAACAGTTGACGCTAATGAGAATACAGTTTGTGCTCACAAATATGAAATCATTTGTAATGCCCTTTTTCTTTATACTTTTAATCGTGAAAACAGGAAAAGTCTACATTGGAAACAAAAAGGAGATTGCAGAGAGCAGAATCCCTGAACTCAGCACGTACATGAAGGTAATCTCATCTCATTTTATGCAAAGTGCTTTTTTTTAGTACAAAGGAAAGGATTGTTGGCATGCTTGCAATCTTCTGCAGTGTGCAGTTCAGTAGCCTACATCTTAGTGGGCTGAGCGATGTTGTAGGTGGAAAAGCATGGACTCAGATATTTCTGCTGTAGTTTGGAGATGGAGCTTATCATGTAGGCGTTGCTGCTCTCTTCTCTTTGCTCTGCCCTGTGCCCACATCACGTCTGACTGACTTTAGTTGTGGGACTTTTGACATGTTGCTCCATCGCTAAAAACACGATCAGGTTCTCTTTCTCCCACTCGCTCACTTCTCTTTTCTGTTTTTTTTTTCCCTTTGCAACCTACATGACTCTCCTTTTCCACAGTTTATCGCCTTTGCTTGCCTTACACTTGTGCGATTCACTTCATCTTTTTTTTATTCTTCCGTCACTTTATCCCAGATTATACACCACCCGATTTCTCCTTCCCCTCTTCCATCACTAGTACTGACATAACATTGTACCTACAGTAGGTACTTCTCGTCGTTCACCTTGATTTTCTTCTTTAAAAAGTAACAAATGAAAATGTTTGATGAAATAATCTACAATAAATGCCTTTACTTAGTTTTGTAGTCTTATTTTGTCTTTCATTCTTTCATTCCAGTCTGTTTTAATAAACATTGTTGTCACTTCTGCATCATTTTCCCCTTTTTATTTTTCAGAGGTTGCTTGGTCTACCAACATGGCTGTTACTGGATGAAACTCTTAGGATGTTTTTTTACCAGTCCGATCAAGACAGTCAGCACCGACCTCAAGCTCTCAGACGTCTTCGTCCACCTACCCGCAAAGTGTAAGCCCACACCTATCAAACAAAACCCTTTTTGAAATCAATTCATATCTACGAATCAGATATCTGTTCTCATGGCAAAAGCTGCATGATTTACTGGCGGGCTCATGTGGATAGGTGTGAGTCTCACCCAAATTTTTGCTGTCAGTCCAGGGATTTGAACCTGTGACCTCCCAATTCTAGGCTCACCTTCTCTAACCTCTGCACCATCACTGCCATATATATCAGGCTTCATAAAAACACAAAACTGACAAGAATCAGTCTATTCTAGTCAGTTCTTACAATCTATTTTAAACTATTAAACAAACTGGTGCCGATAAAATACAACTAACACAGAGTAATGAAATACATTTAAAACCTTTCAGTGTGAAGATAAGTATCTTGTGTTATTGGGTCTTGGTATATATTTTTCATCTTTTGGGAATCTGTAGACGTCTCCCCTCAATGTCATTTCACTGCAGAAAGTCAAATAGACACCAGTGGGGGTTTCTCCTCCATTTCGTATCAGAAAGGAGTCGACCTAAACCATGATTTGAATGTCTAAAAATAAGTGAGCTATCCAGAGGGAACTAAATCAGTGATGCATCTCAGAATCGCAGAAGAGAAAGAAAAATAGTGGAAGTGAGAATCTATCTGCTTGAACCTTCTGTTGGAGGAGTGGGGTTACAATGCTGTCAGGAGAACATGCAGAAACACAACTCTGTCATCTGGTATCCAACAGCTGATCAATGAGTCACTGCTTGGTTTGAATGATGCAGACTCCAGTCAGAATGTGTAAAGGTAGCTTGAAGGTTATGCCTAAAATACTTCAATATATGCTTTTTTAATTTAAACTTGGAAAACACAAAAATACTATGGATTATTTTTTACAAATTCTGAGAAAAACACTGGTGTGGTAGTAGGAAAAAGTCCTGCACAACACGCACACAAAATCTATCTTATGAACCACTGAGCACATTTTGATAAAACTCTCAAAAAGTAATAATTGGATGTACTTCTATAGCCGATTAACCTTTGGAGCAAACTCTATTCATTTTCATCATCACAGCAAAATGAGCTTAGGAAAAACAAAAAAAAAGGCTATTCAGTAGTCCCTCGTTTATCTCAGGGGGTTCCGTTCTCAGTCCCCCCGCGGTAAGTGAAAAACCGCCAAGTAGGGATAGTAGTATAAGTAGCAAGTATTTTATTTATATATATATATATATCTATATATATATATCTATATATATATAGATATATATATATATATATATATA